TATTATTTTCTTTACGATTAAGCAAAAAGTGCACCGAACATATGAATATAGAAAGGGGATAGAAATTAATGGATATTCAAAAACACCGTTAGCTAACCTGAATTTCACTTTGAACTGGATGGGATTTGACAAGAACAATCCAAAAACAATGTCGATTATCATTTCTAATCGTGATTTCCTTCTCCTCCTCTCCCTCGTTGCCTCCGTTGTATTGTCACTGCCATTGAATATGGCGACTTCCTCCACCCACTAATGTAGGGGAGCTCGTTTCCACTTAGTTCCATATCCTTGACTGCCTCTCTCTCTCTCTCTCTCTATATATATATATATATATATATATATATATATATATATATATATATTATAATTGACGAGTTGGTGATAGTGAGAGCTCGACCCTTGCACATCAAGGAGAGAAAGGGACAGAACTAATATATCGGCTTGTTCGTCTACTTATCATTGACGAGTTGTTGATACCAAGAGCTTGACGCTTGCACATAGAGGGAGAGAGAGAGAGAGAGAGAGAGAGAATAATGATTGGCGACGGAGTTAGGTGGTGGCACCAGTGTGGCAAGGCGGTAATGGGTAGCAGATCTGGGGGCATGAGGCAAAGGGGCTCGAGAGAGAAACATGTAAGTGCAAGAGTCGAAGCATGTTAGAGAAAGAAGAGAGAAGGGATAGGAGAAACTTGATCATTGCACAAAAAAAAAGGGTATTTTTAGCTATATTGAGGATGGAAATAGTTTCAACCCTGAAATGTTTTATTTGTTCATTCTAGTCCAATTTTTTTTAAAATGACAATCCGCCCTTTAAAAGTTAACGTTATGTGACGTGAACATTCCCAACATTTGTATATCTTTAACCATGTAAACATCGGTCGTGCAATATTGAGATAATGTCACATCAATAAATGCGCAATCTACGTAAAAAGAAAACTCCTAGTAAAAACGACAATGTTCTCTGGACTTGAACAGTGCCTCCGTAGCTGCCCCACCACCAATGCGACCGACAAACTCCAATACCACCCGAACATCTCTCTGTCTCCCTCTCTCGGACTAGAGGGTGCAACTTCCGACAGAAGACCAACATCGGAAGTTAGAGAGAGCCATTCACAAGCTCTGGATTACATTTATGAAGTGATGATTTCTAGATGCAATAAGCAGCGACGACGACACCATTGTTGGGCTTGAGTTAGGGCCACAGCTGTGGCACCCGTTGGATCGAGGAAGAAGAAAAAGAGAAGAAAGAGAAGGAAAAAAGTGTTTTTCAGGGGAAATTCCATCTTAAATTGACATGACACCCCATATAATCTCTGCAACACATAATTTCCGGTGAGTTATTTCCGGTGAGTTTGTAGGATGCATCAATGAAAAACACACGACATGATCATCATATCTCCATCGGTCCAGAAGTGTCGAGCTCCCAAAGAAATACTCAAGTGTCACCACCCAAAATGGTGACTATTTGAGGGCATATCTTACTTATGAATCATTTGGTAGGACCTCACATCCGATTTAGGACTTTGGTTGTCAAACTCCTCTGCTTAAAGTATTGATGTCCTCATTAATGACGGCCCAAAACACCTAGCAATACTTGCTCTATTCGACGTGTGGTTTGCCCTATTCTTGCCTTTTAACCATCCAATGTGTGGTTTGCCTTATTCTTGCCCTTTAACCATTTAAGAAGCCTGATTATGCTGTGGGTAACAACCCCAGTGATATGGCTACCCAGTCCGAGGCCTCAACCGTTCTGGCAATAGAGCCAATCCATGGGGGCAACATTGAAATCTTGCGGCACAATTGGAAGGAGCAGGCGAGAGAGTTAGCACCAAACCTTACTTTGGTGGCTACCATGAACAGGCTGTTCAAGAAACATCAGAATAAGATGACGAATCACATAACAAGACACATTTATGATGTGATCAGATTGATGGTCATCCATGCGATCGGCGATGTCATATCCAGGCCCAAGACATTTAATTGGTCCATACCTATCCAACTGAACACGGCGGCTTCTCGGTATGTTTCTCCAACTCTTAATCAATTGAACGGAGGAAATAATTTAGACCATGCGATCCCACCACCAGTGAGGATTTACAAAGGCTTGAAAATCCTATTTTCCTTGAACCTAGGGGCGGGAAGGTAAAAAGTCTATCAACATATCTACCTTGAACCTAGAGGGCTAGAAAGGTTCCTTGAACCTAGAGGGCTAGAAAGGTTCAAGTTGTAAATCCTGATCAAGTGGTTGAACTTGTATTACAACAATTAGGTGCCGACAGAGGAATGGTCAGGCCAGTATATAGGAAGTCACATCCTAATTGGGTTGACACTATACCTTACCCAAGAAAATTCAAAACTCCTGACTACGTTGTTTTCACTGGCGATAATCACTGGTTGACCATAGAACACGTTGGTAGATGTACTACCCAATGTGGAGATGCAGGAACAAATGAATTACTAAGACTTAAGTTGCTCCCTTTGTCTTTATAAAAAACTCCCTTTATATGCGCATTTATCTCCTAATTTAATCCATACTTGGGCTGAGATGGAAAAACAATTACATTCTCAATTTTATAGAACGATACCTAAAGTATCGATTGTTAATTTGGCCAGTATTTATTATTACGATAATGAATTAATTGATCAGTTTGTTGCTCGATTCAAGAGAGCTAGGAATAGATGCCTTACTTCACTCTCGGAGAAAGAATTCACAAATTTTGGCTTTCAGTGGATTGAAATCAATTTTAGAGAAAAATTCGAAAGCCAAAATTTTGCGGATGTATTCCAATTGGCAATGAGAGTATCTAAGTATGAGCAACTACTTAAGGATAGACATAAAAGGCCACACGAAGACTTTATAAAAAAACGTGTCTTCCGTGGAAAAATATGAGCTATATGATGAATCGGATCAAGATAAAATTCGGCAAAGAAAAATGAAATTTGCCGATAACAAGGGAGCACATGATCACTCTTGGTTATGTAAAATCATTCGATTATTTTAAAAGGAGGCATTTGTTTGTACAAAAAAATGACCAACTTTTAGTTATTATCGACATGTGAGAAGAGTTTGGTAATTTATGAACTTGATTATCGACAACTTGAAATATTGACAACTTGATGAATCGACAACCTGAAGGAATTGACAAGAAGTGGAGTTGATAATCTCGGATGGCAACCGTTGAAGAAGTACCGTCAACGTAGTGAAATAAAGAAATCATCAAGGTAGTGGAGTCGAAGAAACTGTCAAGATAGTGGAATCAATGTAATCGTCAATGTAACCATGCGCTAACTGTTTGTAACCTCTCTTTGTAACATCCATTGATAACCATCGAATATAGGCTTTAATTAGCTACATTGTACTCTTCGGAGGCCTCCCATGCACAAACAAACAACCATGCTATCTTTCAATTCTTGCACTTTAGTTATAGTTTCGAGACTTGTGTTGTTGATAAAATTCTAGTGTGTTTCTTAGCTATAGATTCCAAATTAGTGTCGTCGATTAAATTATGACGTGTATCTTTATTGTACACCTCGAGTGCCTCTTCGTCGATTAAATTCCAATATTGCATATTTACATCCTCAAGCTTTGTTGTTAGTTAAATTCCAGCATAGTTTGTGTTCGTTTGGTTCCATTTGAAGTGATTATGTTCTCATGTTTTGTCGTCAATTAAATTCCAACACAATTTATGTACATTCAATTCTGTTTGAAGTGAAGTTATCGATTTTCTTGTTTAACTATGATATTTCCTATCCGGAATTGCCACAGGACCCGTCTCCTCCAATGATTTTCGGTGAAAGATATTTGTTGAGGAGTCGAATTCCGTGAAACAACCACATGCCTCAAATTTACCAAGACCAACCTCTTTCTCCCTACTCTTCACCTTCTTGCCCTCTACAACACTCAAGCAAGGGGTCAATGGCGACTGCCGACACTCATGCCAACCAGCTATTACCGTCACCAAATTTCTTATACCCGACTTTATCTTTTCTTAGGTAGGAATTAAATACATGATAGAATAAATTTTATCTTACCATGAATTTTATCCTGATTACCAAATGTGGCTTAAGAGGCAGAGGAGAGAAAGAGAGAGTATGCTTGTAGGGCACTTGGCGAAAATTTGTGCTTGGACTGTTTGTTAAATCCAAAAAATGACTATATATAATGGTAGAGAAGAATCTTGCGTAAATAAGACCTAAGCCACTTGAGCTAGGCACTAATATTTGATAAATGGCTTCGACAATTACATGTGTTGTGTAATTTAACTGTAAATTGTGCCATTCATCAACCCGACGATCCACTCGGTTAATTGTATTGTGTAGTTGATTATGTAATGAAATCACTATTAGATGAGTGTTACCTAACGAGCAGTTAATCCCGCTCAAAAGAAAATTTTCTTTGCAAGGAAAATGATGTCATTATGGATTGGCATTTGTCCCTTCTTGTGTTTGCAGTAGGGATAATGACACAAATTGTCCCTGAACTTCTAATTTATTTAATATAGTCCATGAACTTTAACTCAATGTACAATGTGGTCCCAAACTTCTTAATTTTTCAATGTGATCCCTAGAATTTTGATGCATATTCAATGTAATCCCTGAACTACATGAAAATGTTCAATACTGTCCTTGATTTTAAAAATCAAGGACAGTATTGAACATTTTCATATAGTTTAAAATCAAGAACAGTATTGAACATTTTCATATATTTTAGGACTATTGAACATATACAAAAAATTCATAGATCACATTGAACAAATTGAAAATTCGGGGATCACATTACACATTAGACTAAAGTTTAGGAATCATATTGAATAAATTAAAAGTTCAGGGGCTACATTGCACATTGGATTAAAGTTCATGGACCATTTATATCATTTTCCTTTCATAGTAAAAGAAAAATGGTGTTATCTAATTTTTAATTGTAACTAAAGCATACTCGTATTATGCGTCCAATTCTAAATTCTTGATTTGAATATTAAAACTAATGGTAAATGTCATGTGTAAGGAAAAAGTTAGATTTATATATACCCAGCGGAGTCTAATTACATCCCTTTATTAAAATAGCTAAAAAAAAGAGAACTATAACATCACGTAGAAGGCAATAATTGTTTCAGTAGAACTGACGTGATCAGGATAGTCTAGCAGCTTTCATGAGGGGGAAAGTCAGGGGAAAACGACAGGAACATTAATACGAAGGCAGAACGTAACGCAAAGGATTCGAAAATGAACTTTTTTATTTATGAAATTTCATGTAGCATCACGATACCAATTTCAAGCTGTAAAAGAGGCAGCGGATACGCCATACAACTAGCCTTAGAGAAACATCAAAAGATGGGGTACATCAACTATACTCCCCTTATACCCTTCATACAGAGGGTACCATGTTCAGGACTCCATCTACTGCTGAGCCTGCATTTGAAGGAAAGACTGATTAGCGACCAGAAACAAACTGGCTGGGGCCAAGAGGGGAAAAGAACAATGTTCAGAAAGGATCGTGACATCTAGTTTGAGTCTGGGTTAGAGGCATTACACCGAAGCGCATCTTGAAGTATTCGACAAATTCTTTTGGATCGGTCTTTGTCTGCTTGTAAGTGTCGATCTCGTTCATTTCCTGCACGGGATGAAGTAGAAGGAAAGATCAATGCGTCATATGGTCTCGAGCAAGGATAAAATTGTGCAGAGCTGCTGAATTTGTAACTCATGAAGATATGACTTGACATTGCCCAAGTACTATAAGCACACTCGATCAAAAGGTTTGTCCGTAAAACTGATTGGTCTCTAAAGGTAATCATGTTTTCCTTTCAAGAGATGATGCATTTGCATAGAAAATATGGTCACCACAACCAGTGGGTGATCTGACGGTCGGTGGAGACCGACTTTCTCATTCTATATACGACTCTACAAGAAAACTATGGAGACTACTAAGAGAATCCAACTAGCATGTTTGATGACTTCAGATAATGATCGCCTCATGGCAGGTTGGGATCTCCCCATAGACATGCTCCCATGCTATAATAGTTCCCCAAGGCCAAAGTCTAGCCTGGACACTATCCAGAAACCGTTCATCATTGATTCACCATTTCACTCCGAATCAATCTTGGAATTTAGTTGTCTTTTGTTCGTGGGAAGAAAGAGTTTTGTCGAAAATGGAAGAGAAATGATGCTTAGATTAAGCATTGGCCAGAGACTTGATTCCCTCCCGTACCTCAATCCATGCTGCTAGTTTAGGTCTGCTGACAGTGATGTCATATTTCCATACTTCAGATAAGTAACTCTGGAATCTTTCAACAAATGGGATGTAGGCAATGTCCACCTGAAATCACAAAATTAGACCCTAAATAATAGTCAACCACAAAAAGAAGTACATATCGATAATCACATATCAGGCGAAATTTCTTGCTGCAAGATATAGGTTTGCACATCATACGGATTTCATCAATCAACGGATCTTTTGTTTAACCATACTAGAAATAGAAAAACCACTGATGAGCCCCTCATCACATGCGAGAATGCCAACATACCCCACTGAATTGTCCGAGAAAGAATGGTCCATCCTCAAATTTGCCAAGAGCATTCTCCAAGTGATCAAAAGCAGAGGCTGATGCAGAAGACAGAGTTCGCTTTTGGTGATAGAGATACCCGTCATCAAAGAAAGCGCTTAGACGACTTACCACATTCTTTCCGTCCTTCTCCCTTGAATGAAGTGAAGACTAACTGCACGAATTCATCAACATAAGACCACAGTTCCTCACCAAACTTCCTCTTTTCAGGATCCTACATAACAAAGATCGGCCAGTTAGTTACGAGCAAGCCACAGAAACAAGAAATGCACATTTGCTATCCAGTGCTCACATCAGGGAAAAGAGAAGGCCCTTCAAAGTTGCTGTCCACGTATTTCATGAGGTCTAGGCTCTCTCCAATGATTTTCCCATTGTGCTCCAACGCCGGAACCTAATCATAAGTTACAGCAAAAGAAAAGCAAAATGTACCCATCAAATCAACAATGGCTAAAACTTACCGACTTCATTTAATTAAAAGGTCAAAAAGGCCAAATAAACCAAGTGGGGAGCCAATTGATTCCCTAAAGTTAACATCAACCACCATAGGAGTCAAAATTTTCTATAATAAACATAAAAAAATCGAGCCAAGCTCAGTTTTGGAATACATGAAAACTAATGACACAAAAATCCGGAATCCTGCGGACACTCGCTTGGAATCCTAAATCATAACCAATTTGGGCTATGGCAATCAGTTTCAAGCGGAGAATCTAAGGCCACTAATCTGAAAACACACAAAGAATTAAAACAACCGGGACGGGCACTAAAGACAAGCGAAAGAAGAATCACCTTATTCATGGGGTAGACTTTCTCCTTGTACCAAGCAGGCCTGTCTTGAAGATTAAGAGGAACCAACTTAATCTTGTCCTGCAGTCCCTGCAGCTCACAAATATAATCCCAATTCAGAAACTAGTCGCGGGCCGAATCAAAATGAACTGAAGGGCATATATAACGACAAATCACGCATGGTTTTTGCTAAATTGCACCCGATCACAGAAAATGAACTCACCTTGTAGTTCCTCGTCATCCAGATGCGATGAGCAAATGGGCATGCGTAAGAGGTGTACAACCTTCAGGAAATTTGGAGAAAACAAACATAAGCCGACATAAGACAATCCCTTGCTTACCTGTCTCATCAGTAATCACACCAAATCAACTCGAACGAGACGCTTAAAGGGAAAGAAGAAGAAGAATCGAACCTCGTTGTTCCATCGAAAAGAGGAGGTTGCTCGGCGCCGGAGCTCAACGGAGGAGGCAAGTTCTCAACCGCGGCACTGCGACAGGATCGAAACGAAAAATTCAAGCAAGGGATCGTCAAAAAAAGAACAACAACGGCTCGAATTTCGCAGGAAAGACAGAGCGAAAGCGCAAGATCGCGAGAGATTCTTACGGAGGAGCAGCCATCGCGCGTGCGTTGCGTCGTCTTTGTCTGCGTCGGTGTCGATTTCGACGGGAGCGAGAATGGCGTCCAAGTGCGAAGCTATCTAAAGAGCGAGGAGTGTGTTGTTGAAGGCAGGGGTGTGCAAAAGAACCGGGACCCACCCGGATCGGAACCGGTCCGGCTCCCGGTTCCAAAATTGGAACCGGTACTATTTGGGCCGATTCCCGGTTCCCGGTGTGGAATCGCCCACCCGCCCACCCGGACCGGACCGGTAATATAATAATAATATATTTTATTTTTTAATTTTTAATTAAAAAAATTTGATCAAAAAAATAAAAAAAAAGAAGAAAATTTGTTATCATGTCTGAAGCTCTTGTGTAGTTGGGATACTTTGATCATTTTTCCCAATAATTAATGGGTACCCACTTGATTTTATGGATGATGTGGTTAATATAATCGATCATAGTGTAGGAATTGTATGAAAAGTTATGTTCTTTTCCTTTTGTTCTGTTAATCCGATGTTGGTCCACAGATTTTTTTTTTATTTGTCTAGGAAAACTTGTTGAGACCGGTTTCATGGACCCACCCAAGAATCAGACCGGACCGACGGTCCGGTTCTCGGGCGGGTCCATGGAATCAACGGGCGGTTCTCGGTTCCAATTTTTGGAATCGGTCCTGTAGCGGGCGGTCCACGGTTCCGGGGTGGGAACCGCCCACCCGGACCATGCACACCCCTAGTTGAAGGGTTGAGGTAGCGATGTCGCGATCGGTGACGAAGTGAGAGTGATGACGTGATCGCTTCGTCGGATTTGTCTGGTTGGTGGCGGCGGCGGACAGTGCAAATCTCGCAGGTCCCCGTGAAGTTCTAGTTGGTTCGCCCGAGATGGAGAAGGTCTGGAAATATGGTGCTTGCAGAGTATGGCTAAAGTTCTGACCAAAAGATGAAGTATGGCTAAAGTGACTGCTCGTGATAAGATCGGGCATTGATGCGTGCGTGGCAAATGATTTCGGAAATGAGTTTATGGATTACGTATATGAATAGATGTGTGTTTGGGGATGTATGTCGATGGATAAAATACAAACTACAAATGCAGCATAGATTACGATCATCATCAAAGTATAAAGGACGCGTGCACCAAAAGGATAGATATCACAGTTGATGAAATTCACCATCAATGCTTATATGACAAGCCACTCGTCAATGATACAAGATTTCGGGATAGGAGAAACTCACTACCAAGTCTTAAAGGAAAATCACACTCGTCGAGGATAAAATGTTTCTTGATTCACTACTAAGATAAAGAAACCGAAATAGGAGCTATCAACTCTCCAAAGATAATTGCTCACATAAAGGAAAATACAATGTATTCAATATTCATCAAAGGCTAGCCTGCATTACAATGAATGACTCTCCTCTATTTATGGAGAAACCAAGACATAGGGAATAAACAACTATTAAAATGCTTAGAAACTGGAAAGCATTTAAAGTCTTAGGACTTTTGACTCTTGAAACTTACATGCGATTAAGACTCACAAAGTCCTAGGAACTTAGAAATGCATTGATGACATATAAAAACTAGGAAGTGCAATACAGACTCTTTAGCCTTGCGGTTTATTTTCTAGAATTCATCCACCAACCTTGACTAGAAAATAAACAACTCAATAAATAAGCCAATGTTGTAGGAAATTGCTCGGAACAACCTCTCATCGATATGTTGTTGATCGGCATCAAAATTAGTAATTAATCTTGGTGAAACGATACTAAATTAGCTAAGTTCTTGGTAGTTTTCAGTGTCATCATACTAGACCCATCAAAGCAAGTTGTGACCAAAATTAGTTTTGACTTGGATGAACATCGATTGTGCTGGGCTCTTTGATGGAATCAACTTAAGGAATGTTCCATAGAATCGTTTGCTCCCACATCAGGTACGACCACTGCTAATCACTTCGTATGATTTTGAATCGAGGTCGAGTTACTTCAGCATTTTGTCGAGCTAAGCTCGGGCTCACTATTGTTTAGCTCGAAGGGTCTGCAAGTCTGAACAGAGCTTCTATTTCTATCAAATTAGAAATGTTCATTAATTATAGAAGTTGATAGGTGAATTTCACATGCTACATAATGTAGCCAGATAGTGTGACTGCGAAGGAAAACATTTGAGCTTATCAAGTTCGAGATCGGGTCGCATTAGTAATTTGATTGCAATCGGGTCGAGCTTGAATATTGAGATAATCTATCTGGGTCGAGATCGAATAATGTTTGAGTTGAGTTTCGAGAATCAAGTATGTTAGTTGAGTAGAGCTCCAGCTTGATATTGTGTCAACTCGATTTGGCTAGATCATACCTTTATTATGTTACACTAGAGCAATCAGAACCATCCTAGGGACTAAATGTAACTTGAACGTCATATCAACTCGATTTACGACACATACTACTTAGTAATTTACATATTTAATCAAATGTGTAAGTGAATAATTTTCACTTATAATTTTCTCGATTTCTACATTTTAGTGCAAACTGATATGAATCTGGCTTAGGACCACGTATTAATACACGACCAATAAGATAAATATAGTGATCCATCAAGGCCCAAGCCCATCCAGAAGACCACCCTAACCCGAACGTGGCCCTTGGAAATGTCGGACCACATCCGAACAACTTTAACATCCACAACCGAGCACAATGGTCCGGTCTAACTTAGCTCGACGTGCCTCAAATACGGGAGATTATTAAGTTGAGCAGCACTTTAAAGGACAAGTATGAATAGAACTCAGTTCATTCTTAATGAATGTCTTGCAATTTTGGTGATAGAGCCTAAATCTTACCAGGTTCCATTATCATCAGCTAACTTGCACATAGGATGTAACATCCTGAATTTCGATCCATTTCTAGGATTAATGATATTGATATTATTCTCATTTAATTTTAGTAAGTCTCGCCCGGAATTGATCACTCGCGGGATACTAACCGATAGGGAATGGCTAACTAGGAAAATGGTACGTGGACCAGGGACCCGATCGCAGATCGGTCACTGATTTCGAGAAACGACGAGGAAATATTTTGGGCCAATGTGGGCCTATCCTAGGAGAGTAACGGATTTAGTTTGGCCAATGACGTACGATCGGATTGCGGGTGATTCCGCACGACCGAGAGTACGCATGGCGAACAAATCCCGAACTTAATCCGAACGATCGCGACCTCCGCAACTAGTGATAATTCCTCACGTTCTCCCGGTAATCGAGACCATCACGGCTCGAATAACCCTAGGTCGATACGCGTAACCCCTAAACAGCCGCCCGTTAGTGAGAGACCCTAAAATTTTAAATTGAGCAATTTTGACCGCGAAATTGGATCCGGACTTGGACGTCGAATTTCGTGGGCGTACACAACTATTTAGCGAAGATGACGTCATTTTAGAGTGGCCAACTATATTTGGGATCAGTACGGTCGAAAAATGGAAATTCGGCCCGAAATTGGAAAATGACGATTTTGCCCCTAGGCCTATTTTTGGTATTCCGAATTTTAGGAATTATTGGAGATTAATTTTAGGGATTAAATCTTGGATAATTATCAGCCCAATAATGCATAAAATCTTGGGCCAAAATGCCCCTCAATTATTGGACTTAGATTGATATTAGCCAAGTGAGAGAGGGGTAAAGTGAGGATTAGGAAAAAATTGGTCAAACCCCTTAGACCAATAAATGCTCTTGTCTCTCTCTCATTCCTCCCATTTCCAGCCAACTCCCTTCTCCTCTCCTCTCTCCCTCTCGCCGGTTCTCTCTCTCCCTCCCCTCCATTTCGTTTGTTCGGCGTGAGCACCACCGCCGTCGGAGGAGCGCCGTCCGATGGAGATCGATGTTGCGCCTGATGCGTTTTACGCGGGCTAGAGACACCGGGCCTAATGCGTTTTACGCGGGCCATGAAGTGTTGGTATTGATTGTTAGACCTGATGCGTTTTACGCGGGTCGAATCTTAATTGAGAAATGAGCAGTGTGCATTATTAAGCTCGATCGCAAGCATGGCATATTAGTGGCATATGTGTGCAAGAGTGTATTGGCAGTTGTGCGTATCGGTGACTCGTGTGTGAGGCAGGCATTAATAAGTTTGAGCATGCGTATGGTGTACGTGTGACTAAGTGTGATCGCGTATGTGCCATGAGCGTTATTATGAACTGTCTAGCATGCAGGGTCAATTGTATGATCGATCTGGGCCCGAAGGCCTAGGTCAATTGATTGTCAATTATTGCTAGTTGTTTGTGAATTATTGCCTGTCAGGAGGTGCATGTTAGCCTAGTTTAGGTTTATGGGGTTTTACTCGCTGAGATTCGTCTCATTGTTGTTAAAACCCAATGTTTCAGACCCCCGGCCCTGAAGATGTCAGAAGTGCCAGTACGTTTTGGGATTCCCCATCATATAGAGAAGACGATGTCCGTATACCCCGTAGGGAACGGGGAGATGTATATTAGGTATTATACCTTAGTATGGGTCGATGTGGGGAAATCGCATTTTGAGACTCACGAGTATGTAGCGTGGTGTTTTTAGAGACTACTCCGGGGAGTATAGACCTCTTCGGACTTTTGATATCCCGTTTAACGGGCTGGGCGAGGTGGACCCGCAATGTGCTGACGGAGACCTAGCGAGCCCCGAAGCTACGCCTGAGGAGAGTTCGAGTTCTGGCGCCGAGCCTGTTGTCTTAGAGGTGGATGAGCCGGACTCGATGGACGAGGAGCCGGTGGATTGGGACGCAGACCCGAAGCCGATGGAGCCGGATGAGGAGCCAAGGCCTATGGAGCAGGACCCTGAGCCGGAGGGCGAGCCTGATGAGATGGACTCTGAGGAGGAGCCAGCAGAGGCTGAGTCCGAGCTGGATTCCCTAGACTCCGAGGTGGAGCTGTCAGACAGTTCTTCATCTTCTGAGTCCTCGGGATCCGACCCGGACTGGGTTCCGTAGGGTTAGCCTTAGCTCAGATAGGTCGGGCCAGACCTTTTTGATCGAGGCCCCACCTTAGTTAGTAGTCTAACCAACCGGGCCACTTACCCCTTTTTGTCAGTGGTGGCCGTTGATCGCTTTTAGTTTTTGGTGCTTGCTGTAAATGGATAATGTAAATGTTTCCTTGGTTAA